ATATTTTGTACCTTAGCCAACTCTCCCCAGAGCTACAGTTTGAATTTTGCCATTGCCCAAAATGACTTCAGAAATCTTGACTCTCCAAATTCTGCTCTAAATTCTGATTTTTCCTTCTTCCACTTCTGTCTGTCCCTTGCTCCTGCTACACTCTTCTCTGACCTATGGAAACCTGAAGTCTTTTATTTCTTCAATTTTCTTCTAGACTATCAATTCCCTTCCTGGCCCCACCACCAAAAAAAGTTATAATTGTTATCATTGATACAACTCTCTTGATTGCCTTCAGTGATTCCTCTCAAACTACTTCAGTATGGACCATTCTCCCCAGCTGCTGATGTATACAAAATTCTTGTTCCCTTATGTTAACAGATTACCTCATTTCCTACTTCATCAAGAAAATTTGAGAGCTTAGAAATGCCTCCCTCAACTACAAGCCCTCCTTCCACCATGCCACCTACACCCATACCATCCCTGCAATCTTCCCTCTAGTCTGAACAAATGAGATGCCTCACTTCTATTCAGTGTCAGCCCCTCCTCCTGTGCCTGTCAATCTCCTCTCCATTGTCTCCTCTTGGAATTTACTCCATTATTTTTGTAGCATCTTATCTATCTTGAATCTGTTCCTCTTTGCTAGTGTCTTCACATCAGCTTTCCTTTCCCTTGACCCCTCAGTTTCTTCATAGCCCCCTAACTTTTCTCCTCTCTTCTCATTCAGACTTTACAAAGAACTTTCTATCTATATTGTATCTATTTATTTTCTTCCTATTTATCTTCAACTCACTGTAAGATAGTTATCACATGAAATGTCTGTATTAGTCAGGGTTCTCTAGAGGGACAGAACTAATAGGATAGATAGATATAAAAAGGAGAGTTTATTAAGTAATATTAATTCACACTATCACAAGGTCCCAGAATAGGTTGACTGCAAGCTGAGGTGCAAGGAAGCCAGTACAAGTCTCAAAGCTGAGGAACTTGGAGTCCAACGTTCGAGGGTAGGAAGCATCCAGCATGGTAGTCCAATGTTTGAGGGCAGGAAGCATCCAGCAGGGAGAAAGATGTAGGCTAGGAGGCTAAGCCAGTCTAGGTGTTCATGCTTTTCTACCTGCTTTATATTTGCTGCCAGCTGATTAGAAGGTGCCCACCCAGATTAAGGGTGGGTCTGCCTTCCCAAGCCCACTGACTCAAATGTTAATCTCCTTTGGCGACACCCTCACAGATACCCACAAGATAAATACTTTGCATCTTTCAATCCAATCAAGTTCACATTCAGTATTAACCATCACAATGTTTATCGTCAAGGTTACTAGTGATCTACTGTTTTAAAAATGGAGTGATATCCTCAATCTCTCTTCACTGGACACTTTTCCTGTGTAAGATGCTCTTGTTCACTTCCTTTTTCCTAAAACAACTGTATTCATTGGACTCTAGTCACCCTTATACTTCTAGACTCCATTTCTTCTTATTGCTCTTCCTGTTTTCAGCCCTCAAGTATTAGTGTCCCTTAAGGTACAGTCCTCAGTCAGCTGCACTCTAGTTCCCCTCACATGCCCCTTGGAGAGCTCATTCACGTGAGTTCCTACTTCTGTGACACTTCTAAGCTGTATCTCCAGCTCAAACCTATTCCCTAAGCTTCAGATTTTGATAGACAGCTGATTCCTGGTCATCTCCACCTATGTCCCCAGGAACCTAAAGTTAATTATGATTAAAACTTATTTCAGTCTCTCCCATTTATCTGTTTCCACCTTGATATTCTGCATCTCCATTGGTGACATCACCGCATGCTGGGAGACTGGAAGACATGTTTCTGCATGACTCACTCCCTCGCCCCCATATCCTGTCACCAAGTCCTACATTTTTATCTTTTAAATGTTTCCTGAATCAACTGCTTTTTATTCTTCATTACCTCTTTCATTACTAGCCCTGTTAAATTTCCTGTTTTTGTTTTTCTTTTTTTGAATAGGATAGAGCATATATACAGAACACCAATCTGCCAAAATCACTTCCCATTAAAAATATTTTAATTACACTCCTTCACTTATGCAACAAAGTCTATCTCCTTTAAAAAAAAAAAAAAAATACAAGCTTTGAGTTTCTTGAGGGCAGAGACCATACCATACACTATGACTAATGTAATGCCCAGCACTTAGAAAATGTTTAATAAGATATTACTTAATGAGGGATGTGTATCCATTCTTGTCATTCCTTTTTTCATACAGTGTCACTGTGTGGCACAGACAACAGTATTTACCAAATAATCCGCATCTTCCCCCTACATTTCCCAGCCTTCCTTGTTCTTAGGGTGAGGTCATATAAATAGTTCTAGACAATGAGCTATAAGCATAAATGCTGCATGTCACTTGCAGCCCAGTATCTTTAAGAACAAAGATGAATTTTCCAAACTCTCTCTTCCCTTGCTTTGGCTCTCCTGACAGTCTTGAGATTGTATCGCAAGATCACTGAGATTTCAGGGTTAATTTGTTAAAACAGCATAACCTGGCCAACCCTGAGTAATAATAATGTTTACTATTACAAGTTTGTACATCAGTTTCTGTCTTATTATATACATCTCAGCTTTTTTGAACCTTGCCCAGTATGCAGCTCTTTTGCTTCTCCTTACAGCTGCCTAATACTTAGGCCAAAAAATAAATAAATAAATAAAATAACATTTGGAGGCTGAGGCAGGTGGATCACCTTAAGTCAAATGTTCAAGACCAGCATGGCCAACATGGTGAAACCCTGTCTTTACTAAAAATACAAAAATTAGCCAGGCATGGTGGCCCACGCCTGTAGTCCCAGCTACTTAGAGGCCAAGGCAGGAGAATCACTTGAGCCCAGGAGGCAGAGGTTGCAGTGAGCTGATATTGCACCACTGCATTCCAGCCTCAGCAACAGAGTGAGACTCCATCGAAAAGAAAAGAAAAAGAAGAGAAGAGAAGAGAGAAGAACCACACGACTGATGTTTTCCAGCTTACCTGCCTGTTGCTAGCAGCCCTCTGCCTCAAAACCTCTGCATATCAGAGTGCTTCCTACATAATTTATGTTTTCCATCCTTATCCAGCCTGAAATATAGGCAGAGCAGTTCATTGCCTGTTCTCTATGATCTAAGTAACAGTAGAAGTATTTTTCTACATGCACACACGCACATCCTCTGTACTACCTCATAGATGTCTTTGATTTCACAGCAGAATGCCATGTCTCTAACTTTAAATTTCAGTCCTTGTTAGGGAAACTTCTTCGAAGAATTGTACCATAAGTTCTATAGCAAGCACAGGCTAAAGGAATAAGAGACTATCTCCAAAGTAGGTCTGGAAGTCTTAAGCCCTCCTAATTTGTTAAGAATATGTAGATAACCTCCACAGACCTACAATTACTAATATTCTCTCGGTAACTTTGATAGAATTCTTTTCTTTTCTACAAGTATTCTGCAAAATGCACTGCTTTTTTATTTTGGAACCTAGTTAGGTTCCAAAGTTTATTGAACTGTTTTGTATTTTGTTGTTTCAGTAAGTAATAATTCTTTCAGTTAGAAAAAAACAGAAAATATGCCTTCCAGGGTTATATGATCTCACCAGGATTTATCCTTTAGCGCTACTTTCTGTAGAAATGCTCTATCCTCAGACAGGCTCTCCTTTTTGTCATGTGTGAAGTTCCCAGGACTGTTCCCTTTCTGTTTCAAATCTGGCAGAGTAGAGCAAAAGTCTTTTCCTCAGAAGTCACAAAGATTCATTGCTTTGTATGTGTTCTGAATGGGTCATGTTCCCATCCCTGAACCAATCTCTGTGGCCAGGTGGGTTTTATGTGCTAATTAGCTGAGGCCTTAGTCATCCCTGAAGTGGAAAAAAAAAAAAAAAAAAAAAAAAAAAAGAAAAAAAAAAAAAAAAAAAAAAAAAAAAAAAAAAAAAAAGAAGGGAAAAAAAAAAAAAAAAAAAAAAAAAAAAAAGGATGGGCTTCAAAGAAAGCACAAGGCCTAAGAATAAGGAAGGGGATAATTTCTGGAGAGAAATTAGGCTACCACAAGGAAGGTTATGACGTTGGCAGCAATAGCACCCTCTATTCTCTCTATATAATCTGCTGCCAGGAGTTAGAAGTTATAGATACCTTCTAGTTAGAGAATGAAAGTATTTTGTTATATACTACATGTTACACTTTGATCATATTCTCTCTCCCTTCTCTGAACTTTTAAAACATATTCTAAAGTATTTTACTGTAGGCTGCCTTGTGTTTTAGTTATTTATAAACATTTCTCTCCCCTAGATCTAGATCTAGATAATCAGCTATTTCAAGGCAAGTACTGGGGTTTATATGACTGTGCATCTTACATTGTACATTACATGCAGGAGGCATCCCCGACTATTCAACAAATAATTATTCATTGACAAAAGGAAGTCATTAGAAGTCCATAGTTCTTCAGGTGGTAGGTTGGGGACTTATTTTTTTTTTAAGTCAATGTGTCTTACTCGTTTTACTCATATTATTAGGTTGGTGCAAACATAATTGCACCAACCCAATATTACCTCATCACAGTTCTGTAACTCCTGCGTGTGCATGGGTGTTTGTGTGCCAGGTGCTAATACACACACAGTAAGAACTTACTATGTGCCCATGGCAAGCAACAGGGATACGAGTATATAGTGATTACAAAACAAACATTCCTCAGGTCTTCAAAAGCTTATACTCTAGTGACAAAGGCAGACATTTATCAAATAGAGTGTAATCAGTGCTCAAAAAAATAATTTTAAGGTATTCAGGAAGAATGCGTGTGCGTAATAGATCTTCCATATTATTATTATCTTTCTGACTGATTCCAGCTCAATTCCAAATTGTCTACATCAGGGAATACCAGTTTTTCTGGAGGTCTGTTAAACGTGGAATCGTTCTTAGACGATTAACACTAGATTCCCAAATCAAAGCTCAAGATTCAAGAAATTGCATCTTATATTTGTGATAAGTAAAAACTAATTTAATTTTCTTTTCCTCTCTCCTTCCTACCTTCCTCCCAGCCTGAAGTTCTGGATCAAATACAAAATTTGAGGGAGTTATGGATGGATAATAATGCATTACAAGTGCTACCTGGGGTATGTAAGTTTTTATTCTACCATGTTGTCTAATATTTATGTTAGATATTTGTTGTATCTGTTAATAATCTCAAATCTTAAATTTCAGTGTTTGCATTTCAAAGTAAAGTAATACTCAATAGCAGTGTTCAGTCACCAAGCGTTTTCACCTTTTTTTCTTAGTATGTTATGTATCTTTTTGTGAGTGTTATAGGTGTACAAAAATGTAAGAAAGATTTTTCTTATTCCCTTCAGAGTATATTTGTCATCTCTTCCCACATTTACTGTTATTTAAAAGCTGAAATAATTTATAGTTATATTTTTAAAGAGCAAAATGCCATATAGAAGTTTTATTTTTACAAAATCAACCTTATTTTTACAAGTAACTAGACAACAGTTTTTGTTCATTTTGTTAGAGCTCTTCTACAAAATAAAAATCTCTCTCAGTTCAGGTGATTTTCAGTAGAACCCATGTGAATTTTTGAAAATGGCAAGGATCATACACTATTAAAAACAGAAAGTTAAACCAGAGTCAAATTTTTTCCTCAACTAAAGGCCAGCCCAGTAATATCTCCTGAGTATAGGTTTACCAGTCAACTCACTGAGTGTGATTATTCCTATTTTTTCCATCTAACAGAAGAGTGTTCCCATAAAACACTGCCCTTTGCCACTTACACACACACACACACACACACACACACACACACACACACACTGAGAGAGAGAGAGAGAGAGAGAGAGAGAACAAGAGCAAACACAAGTCTCCCTATTGTTTTGTACAACTCCAAACTCCTGGCATTGGTCTAAGTAGCCATGGCAGGTGAATATGTAATAAATCTTCAGCCAACACAGAGGTTTAGATGTGTATTCTCAAAGCCAATTTTATTTCCTTTTTGAATTGACATTAAAAATTACTTAAAATGACAGCAAAACCAACAAGAACAAGACATTTATTCTCTCTTTAAACAAGCATAAAACCACATAAAGGAGAAAATGTGAAAAAAAGATTATGGAAAAATAATTTATGCTCTTATCAAAAGATACATTTATACCATCACAGACACAAAACAGAAAAATATGCACATCTATTGTTTACTGATTTATTTAAAAATCATGTACCAGCAAAACTTTATGAATCAGAAACTATGCTAATATCAGGGTTTCAAAGATAATATATTCAATGACCTTGAATATATTTGTTTGAGAAGCTCACACATGGCAGGATAAACAGATCTGGATTTTACTACTCATAGCAGAGCCTGATTTGTGCTGTAGTCAAGGTATGTACAAATCCTGAGGCAACACAGGTAAGACACTTATCAACCCCTGTGCAAAGACTGAGGAATCAGCATATATGCCTAGTTGAAAGTTTATACCTCTTCTTCAGTGTATTTACTTATTTAAAATATACATAGCATTTACCATGGGCTAGGCATTCTCTCTGTGTTTTACAAATATTGATTCATTGAATCCCTACAACAACCCTATGAAGTAAGTTCTGCTACCATCCCCATTTTATAGATGAGGAAACTAAAACACAAAAAAAGTAACTGGCCCAAGATAACACAGCCAGTAAATGGTGGAGTTGTAATTCAAACCAGCACCAGAGGCTGCTGTTGACTGTAAAGCTCCCAAAAGCTCTCTATGGAACCAATAGAATGTACAAATGAGAATTTTACTTTTCACAATGATTACATTCCCAAAATCCACTGTGCAAATCAACTCACATGCCAAATTTCTCAATAAGTTTGTTATATAAATAGAAAGGTAGGGATGAAATCTTCCATAAAGCATATAATGCTGCCTAATTTGTCTGTCTCAAGAGTAGATTCTTCATATGTACTTCTGGCTGTATATAGAGTCCTTACTTTATTTCACATACTTGCACTTGGTATTTTGTTATGCGCTGTGTGGGAATACCCTACACCTCACTGCCAGAAATAGCTGTGGCTTTCTGGATGTTGGCGGTGGTGAAGAATTGTTTTTCAGTTAACCCGAAATGCTTGTCTTTGAGTGACTCATCTGAGTGCGGTCTCCAGCCTATGTCTGTCGGTTTCTCAGAATAATTAAAACATTTAATATCATTAACCACAGGGAAAAGAAACACATTCACTTTTTTCTTAGTTCGTATATCATAATAAAGTTAATATATTTTGTGAATACTTTTGGATACCTGGGCTATATTTTTCCACTGTGTTTTTCACAAATCAGAGAAGCAAATAAATAAGATAAAATATTTAGTCTTTTACATAGTTCTATCTTGTGACCATCAATCTAAGGTTTAATCAACCAAAATGTGACTAAACCGTGTATTTAATTCATATTTATTTTAAACAAACTCCAGTATCTTGTTTCACTTATGGTTTTCACTCTTTTCATTTGCTGTCCACTGCTCACCTATAGACCCCTCTATGCCCAGAGGATGGGGGATCAACATTCACGATCCTCAAGGACTGTACGAATTTGTGCCTTTACAGTCCTCAGGCTACAATTGCCTTAATACAGTGTTTTAAACATCAAAGTGTTATTCTAAAAAGAATATTTAGGAACTGCACACCAAAATATTAAGTTATGCTGAAGACAGCAATGAAGGAAGCTTCAAGGAGAAAATTAATTTTCTCATGCTATCTCATGATAAAGGAACAAAAAGGAAACACACACACACACACACACACACACACACACACACACAAACACACACACCATTCTTTCATTGCTCAATGGAAAAGAAGAGTAAGCTTAGGTAACATGATAGTTCCTTGGGATGGAAAACTGTGAGTAAAGTGACAGTATTTTTCCAAGTGACACATTTCCAAGCATGAGGAGCAACTCAGCCCTCTGGGCTGACTCACCCAAAGTACTCTGATTCTGGCTAGCAAATATTCAGTCACTCTAAGCCTGTGCTCACACTCTGCACCCACAAGAAAAGCTGAGGGAGCAGGGCTAGAAATTTGCATTGAGTTAATTAAGGATGTGTGCCCTCCAAATGGGCTTTGTAGTCTGTAGCCTGATAAAAGTGAGTTTGATACCAGCTCCACCCCATGTCAATGACATAACCTTGGAGTGTTACTTGTAGTAGATGCTCTCATGCATCCTTCTCCAGGACGGAAGAAATTATTGCCCCAGCTTCTGGAAATGCCGCTTGCAGCTCTCCAGCCTTCTTCAGAAATTGCGTCACCTAAAAAGAACATCTTCACCCAAGACCATAACCCCATTCCCAGAGACCTCCATCCAATGTTTAATCAATGCAGGTATAAAAAGGCTCAGCTCTTCATCCTCTGCTCAGAACAACTTTAGGTCAATCTCAGCTTCAGTGCTCTTTGAAGTGTCCACCAAGGACTTTTTAAGACTTCATCATAGCCCAACTTCTTGCCTACCCAATCCTGCTCCCCTTCTTCACTGTCTCATCCTTTTCACTGGTGTTGATCCGAAACACTCTCAAAAACTTCTGTCTTTGTCTCTCCTTCCCAAGGAATCCAACATGTGATATTACCTAATCTCTAATCTTTAATATATGTTAAAATGCAGATTCTAATTCAGCAGGTCTGGGATAGATCTGAGATTATACATTTCTAACAAGCTTCCAGGTGGTGTCAATGCTGCTGGTCTGCAGAACACATTTTGTGTAGCAAAAATATAAAATATTGAATCAAATAATATATATATAAAGCACTTAGCATAGTGCCAAGTGTGAGCTTGTGTGTATGTAATACATTTATTTACTTATTGTATATTTGTTTATACTCTGTCAAGTAAGTAGAGATGGTAAAGTGTGCACAGGTAGAGCAGATAAACAGATGAACCATTCACTGAGGAACTGAAATGTGTGGAACATTTATTTACAAAACATGCCCTAAAGGAAAAGAAAAATGAAGACCTACATCCTGCCCTAACTCCTGTAGTCCATGTCCCACCCACATGTTCACTCCTTGCGCAAGGTATGGGTTGATCCTTCCCTCACCTAGAAATCAGTTACTAATCCAATCTTTCCACTTCTAACTTTCTCTGGAGTCCATCCCCTCTTCATCGTCACTTCCGTTGCCTTAACAGCTAAAATAATTCTGTATCCTTCTAACAGATCTGCTTGACTCCAGCTTTTGAAAGTTCCCTGAAATTATTTCTTCTAAGCATAAATATAATCATGTCATTCCCCATCTTACAATCCTTTTGCTTTCCTTGCCTATAAAATAGAGTTCTTATTTCTTCACATGACATATAAACCCTTTCAGCAGCTGGCTTCTTCCTGTAATCTCAGCTTGATTACTGTACTCAGCCGCTTTGAATTTCCCAATCCTCTTCAGTCGTAGCATGCTTTGTCATACTTTATAAATGCACGTGCTGGTCTCTCTTCCAGGTACAGTTTCTCTTCTTTTGACAAGCAGCATCTTCCAGGCCATTTGCAGTCCTTCTCTTTTCTGTGGCATTCACTACTTGCTTTTTATTGCACATGTCCCAGGGCATTATAAGCTTTTTTTTACTTGAAAGTTTCCTTCACTACTGAGAACTCCTTATGGATAAAAACTTTGCCTTCATCATGGCAAGTCTATCCCCATACTTAGCTGTCTTGTTCTTGACTGTCCTTCAATATATAACACAGATACTGGTACATAGTAGATCCTTCAAAAAGAGTCATTGAATGAGCAAAACATTGACTCTGATTAGCAGGGTAATCTCCAAAATTAAAATTTAAAACATTTGTTATGCATTTAAAGTTTTAAGGATCAACATGTCAATGTCATTGTTTCAGTGGCAGCTTATTTAGTTGGGAGTTATTTATTTTATTCAGTGCCAGCTTCAAGATTGTTGACATTTTCTAACTGCTGCATTGAGATATAATTCACCTATCATATGCAGTTCAGTGGTTTTTAAACTACTTACATAGTTGTACAAGCATGTGTACAATCTAATTTTAGAACATTTTCATGATCCCTAAAAGAAACTCTGAACCTAGCAGTAACTCCCATAATCTCATCCACCCAGCTCCTAGCAATCTTACTCAACTTTCTATCTCTATGGATTTGCATATTCTGGACATTTCATATAAATGAAATCATACAATATGCGGTCTTTTGTGACTGGCATCTGTTACTTTGCATATATTTTCAAGGCTCATCCATTGTATAACATGTATCAATGCTTTATTTCTTTTTATTGCCAAGTAATATTTTATTTATATGTGTATACCATATTTGGTTTATGCATTCATCAATTCATGGACATTTGGGTTGTTATCAGTTTTCGGCATTGTGAATAATGCATCTGTGACCCTTTGTGTAAGTTTTGTGTGTACATGTGTTTTTATTCTCAGTGGTATATACCTATAGTGGAATATATCTATTTATTGTTGGGTCATTTTGAGAAACTGCCAGACAGTTTTGCAAAGTGGCTATATGTTTGAAGGTTATAATTTCTCCACATTCTTGCCAGCACTTGTTATTGTTGTGGTTGCTTTTAAAATAAACTTTACAGTGTTGTGGTTCTTACAACTTTATGTCTTGTGAAATATTTTCAACTAACCCTGAGTTTATGCAATGTCATCAAGTCTATAGGGAAGTTAAAGATGTTGGTATACCTGGATATGTCAAAAAACAGAATAGAAACAGTTGACATGGATATTTCTGGATGTGAAGCCCTTGAGGACCTCTTACTGTCATCCAATATGTTGCAACAATTGCCTGACTCTATAGGTGAGAATATAATATTTTGTCACAAATATTTATGTCCAATATACCATTTTCTTTTTTGGAAGTATAGTTTGTCTATAGATATAGGTAATATACTGTTAGCCTGATGTTGATAAATTTCAAAATGTACTATGTAAATCATAAATCAGTATCT